GAACTGCTTTACCGTTGCTAGCCAGCTTCCTAAAAATTCCTTGAAATGTGTGTTACTATGACACCTTTGAAGTCTTTGTTAGATGTCTTGCATCTCCTTCTTATTTGGACTATGGCCAAATAACCTCGCTACACTTAAACACGCTCTTCGTGCGAGCCTTGTTCCGGAGTACTTCACACCGAAAGGTATGCTCCGCAGTAGGGCCAGATGTCGCTGCACGAAGTGTAGTCTCGGAGCAAATGTCCATTTTCACCCAAAAGAACTAAAGTATCAAAGATTCTGAATGCAGGGTTCGGCAAGTTTCAAGGCAATGTTTTGAGGCATATCGCCACCATACATGTAGCACTCTCTATAAAAAATTTCTTCCAGGTGTGCGAGGGATAGCTGAACGCTACTGTAACCAATGTACTATCAGATGCAATTCCGCATTGCACCGTTGCTCTTTTGTTCTGCTCCCTTCCAGGTGGCTAATGTTACTGCGGGAGATGATGATGATACTACCTGATCTACTAGGTCATCCCATTCAAAAGTGCCGCAGATCTTATTCATATAAAACGAAGAGAAAAACAGATAGAAAAGTAATATTTTGGCTTTGAGTTAAGTAGATCCCTCCTTCACCAATGACCCGCTCCCAGGGCCCCGAAAGCGTTTGGACCTCTGGTACCTTCGGTTTTTCAACAAGTGCGAGTAAATTGCTGTTGATGCCAATTTCGGCGAATGACAAAACGTAGCGTTTGCCGTCGGAGAGTACCCTCGACTGACCAGAACAGTTGGAATCGAACGGCTTTATGTTGGGCGAATGGGGCGATTGAACCCAGGTCTCAGTATTGTTTGTGTCCCAGCACTGCCCTACAATACAGTTACTCGGGGTCTGGCACTATGACGAGCAACGGTGGCCTTCTTGTAGTTGTGTGGTATCATCCTATTCCGGTTACCACCATTTGTCGATCTGAATGCGCAGGAACAGGCAATATGCACCCCGTGTGACGGATTGTCCTCTCGCACTAGTGAGCCGCCTGAAGCCACCAGCTGGTGCGAATCCTTGCAACTATATGGATCATCCACTTGCACGCCTCGTGTTCCTCACGGTATAGAATTCTTCGGGCCGGCTTCTATCTACATCTCGCTACAATAAAATTTGGCGCTTGTGAGTTTTTGGCTCGAAGTCCAAGACCACCCATATTTAATGACCGGAGCCGCAGGGCGTTTGCGCAAGATGACATGATAATCGTCATACTCGAGAACATTCACTGCTAGAGGACACAGAAACGATACCCCTGAGCGTCAGTGCTCCAAAGAAAACTTAGCCCGGTACCCACACACTTTGCGCACACACCCTCTTGACCATCCTCAGTTTATCGGACATAACTCGGGCAGCAGTTGCAGCAGGGATGTCAGTCTCGCGGGGAAGCTCGACAAAGGTCCAGGCTCTGGGATCAGACATTCAGCGCTTGACTTCATCCACCCTTTTTTCTTTGCAGGATGAACATTATGGGACCATCCACGACAACAAATTTTTTCCTTTCTTCCTTCTTCGGGCTCCTGAACCGAACCTTCCACCTTGTATTCGAGAACACCATTACACAACTACTGGTCCGGCGCAGGTCAAATTTGAGCAGCGCACTTTCCTCTTATGACGCCTGATTTGAAAAACCGGCGCTGATTTTCACCACTCGGGCTTCTTTTCAATTTCTCGAGAACTTCTTCTGTGAGGTTCGCCAAATTTCACAGATACACAGCTAAAGGTACTAGCCTTCCAAATGGTATAGTAGCCCGCTGCTCTATCCCCTTTGCTTTTCTGCCATTCCTCTATATGTCTCGGCACTTTTGAATGGGATGACCTAATAGGAAACGACGGTGGGTTAGCACTGATGAACGCTCGAATATAAATAATTTATGACGAAGCGTTCAGTTGATAATAAGGATGTTGATTTCCATTCGAAAAAGAACGTCAGCAGGACAGGGCAATCATCTGTTTGGGATTTTGGTCGAGTCCGTACGATCCCCCTCCTTGTTCCCTCCCTATCGAGCTGTCGAGCGGGAGGTAGGGATATATGTGTATTAGGTTGCCCCGAAAGTTCGTGACATTTTCGAACTTTTTTTCTTTCAAGTCAAGTTTATTCCAATGAGAAGCAATTCTGATCAATTTGACCAATGAGAATAACTAGAACTTAGGGATAGCGAAGTGTGACGAAAATGATGGATTTCATCTACCGTTTTGGATATGAGAACAGCGACTGCGAGGGACGGTAAGCAACTGTGGGATGCTCACTTACACACTTCCCATAGACCACATAACTGGATCTCGAAATAGGCTGCGGAAAGATTTGATACGAGATTCAAAAAAGTGTCACGAACTGAAGGGAAAACCTTCCAGCACATGTGAAACAGCAAAAAGCTGCCAGCAGAATACGAGCCCCCAACCATTTATAGCGCCCTTGAAACAAGAACAACCATTAACACTAAGTACGCTCGTCTCCCTCCCCCCTAGCGACCAAATACGACCGCGTGTTGGGGAATCCCCAGCGATGATGGGCCATGCAGCGGAGACTTTGAGAAAATGCCACTAGGGAAAAGGAAAATGCTGGCGTTGCCGTGATCTTGCTGTTGCACGACGACACCCCATGAGTCGGAATTTTCTTGAACTCCATTCATCAGAAGCTCAAGACAAACTTTACAGTCCCTTTCCTGGATTCTGGTCCTTGCCATGAGCAAGCTGAATGGGTCTGCAGCTGCAGAGCTGGCTGTCACCTTCTCCGCTCAGAAGTACATACACGTGCCGGGTGCATGCAGCGCTGCAGCAGCTTCACATCAATCCCTTCGCTTCATTTTGTACTTCGCAAATGAAGCGATACGAGCATCAGCATCGGTCGGACATTTGTGGGCGGGCGGCGCGGTGGGCGTCTGGGTCGGTATGTTGCAGCTTGATAGGGCGCTATAGAGGCACCTCCTTGGAAAAGGTGCCACGCAGCGCCTGCTCGAGGGCACCGAACTCTGTCAGGCGTATTGATCCTACACGTCTATCTTTTGTGCAGCCTATCCACTGCACAAATTGTCAATGACGATGACGCAAGTTCAGTACGAACATGAAAGGAGAAATAGTCATTCCGACAACTCAGAACCTCACTCAAAACCTAGCTCGCAGTGTGTCACCATCAATCGTATCATTTGAAGCCTGTGCATATCACTCTAATCTAATTACATTCACACTGTTCGGCTTGGAGGGGCATTTTGCATCTTTACTCTGTCTTTTTTTCTTTCTTTCCTTTCTTTTTCTTTTCTTTGTCCTTTTAGTTCTTTTGTCGGTTCATATCACCTCACAGGTCTCACTTTGGTCAGACCTGTAAACTCCTGCGAAGCAGTAAAATTTTTTGAGTGAGCCACTTTGGTCACAGGAATTTACAGGTCCTCACAATGTGGCCTGTACGAGCTTAGCCAGGTACCATCCGGTACCTCCACCACGCCATACTGCACCCACTCAGGCTTTTGTTGAACTTGCAACTTCGAAGAGGTAATTAAGACCAATAAAAATCAAAATGAAGCTAAATGGAATAATAAAATGCGAAAATAGACAAAACAGCAAGATAGAACAAGACGCCCTTACTGACCAAAGGAAGTTTCCGCTGTGCGATGGCTTCTCGAAATCTTTCTCTCCGTTCCTCGACGGGTGCATGCTCAGATTGCGAAAATCGGACATTTGATTGCTGGGAGAGTTGCACAAGGAATTCATCGTTTTGGAAGACTTCACGAGGATTCGGTACCGATGCAAGCATTTCTGAGTCAGACAATTTCGAATAGATGAGGGATGAAAAGGATATTTGTGAGTTCTCTGCTCCTCGCGAAAAGCTTTGGTAAAAAGGAATACAGAGAGGTATGATAGAAATTAAAACGCTCTCCGAGCTGTCAAATGTTGAAACATGCAGAGGTGCTAGAGGCTTTACGCGGTGAGTGACAGGTGACTACCCATAAAAGTGGGCCAGAAGAGATCCATGAAAGGAGAAGTAGTCATTCCGACAACACAGAACCTCACTCAAAAACTAGCTCGCAGTGTGTCACCATCAATCGTAACATATGAGGCCTGTGCATATAACCTCTAATATCATTACACACACTGTTCGGCTTGGAGGGGCATTTTTCATCCTTACTCTTCTTACTTTTTCTTTCTTTCCTTTCTTTCTTCATGTTCTTCAAGGTTGTTTTTGTCGGTTCATATCACCTGACAGGTAACACTTTGGTCAGACCTGTAAATTCCTGCGAAGCAGTAAAATTGTTTGAGTGAGTCACTTTGATCACAGCAGGAGTTTACAGGTCCCCACAATGTGGCCTGTACGAGCTTAGCCAGGTACCATCCGGTACCTCCACCACGCCATACTGCACCCACTCAGGCTTTTGTTGAACTTGCAACTTCGAAGAGGTAATTAAGACCAATAAAAATCAAAATGAAAGCTAAATGGAATAATAAAATGCGAAAATAGACAAAACAGCAAGATAGAACAAGACGCCCTTACTGACCAAAGGAAGTTTCCGCTGTGCGATGGCTTCTCGAAATCTTTCTCTCCGTTCCTCGACGGGTGCATGCTCAGATTGCGAAAATCGGACATTTGATTGCTGGGAGAGTTGCACAAGGAATTCATCGTTTTGGAAGACTTCACGAGGATTCGGTACCGATGCAAGCATTTCTGAGTCAGACAATTTCGAATAGATGAGGGATGAAAGGATATTTGTGAGTTCTCTGCTCCTCGCGAAAAGCTTTGGTAAAAAGGAATACAGAGAGGTATGATAGAAATTAAAACGCTCTCCGAGCTGTCAAATGTTGAAACATGCAGAGGTGCTAGAGGCTTTACGCGGTGAGTGACAGGTGACTACCCATAAAAGTGGGCGGGGTAGAGGCGTGGCGTCTGTGTCCCTCTTCTATACCGTCTCCGTGAGGACGTAAGGAGGGAACCAGGGTCAAGCATCACGTCGCGGAAAATCGGGAAATCCGGGAGCTGGTACGACTCATCCCCCTACCCCTAAACAGTGTACCCCCTCCTCAATGGCTGCCTAAAAAAAGAAAAGCATAACAGACTTGCTGTGAACCATATTAGCTAATACAAAATAGAATAGAAAGAGCAGAAACAGGCTGAAAAGAGGAAGCGATCCAAAGGAGACACAAGGAACGCAAGGTCGAAGGGGGAAAACAGATTAGTGCGACCGTTACTCAGAAAATCGCTTCCGAAATTGAGCTTGCGTGATGCAGTAAAGAAGGAGAACGCTAAAGTCTAAAGGAAAAGGTGAGGCATTTAGCGTACTGCGGCTGCATCGCCTATTGAGACTGGAGCGCTACATGGCCTATTGCATTCACACTGTATTCTTTGAGAGGGTATAACATCATTTAGAAAACTACAGACCACAAAATAACGCGAAAAATTTTTGGCAAACGCGAGTTTTTTATCTTTCAATGGAAATATATACCTTCGTTCAGGTTAACAGCGAGTGAAAACCTAAACGGTTTGGGAACTATAAGCTTTCACCTTCTAATGAACGCAACAACTTGCTGTAGCTTAACTATATAGCATAAAATTCGCCCATTGCGGAATTAGCTCTAAAAGTCAGCTCCAGCTGCAGTGTAAGGATCTCCCCTTCCCCCTCCCTCCCCAACCAAAGCCCACGTTTTCATCTAGAAAACTTTCGTATGTCTCCCTCTCATGGGTCAAATAGGGAGTGATGCCTAAAGGCGCTGATCAACACCTGGGATGCGCCATGTACTCGACTTCCTTTCCGAATGTGTCACCCATGGTGCAAGCTATGTCGCTGCTGTGTTCAGTACTGACCCTCACAAATACCACCGCATCGCGGATTCCGCGACCTATGGTTGACCATAGAACGAACCTGCTGCACTATGCACGTCATTCTTGTGAGCAGCCAAAGATATTTTTTGAAGCCCTGGACTTATTTTTGGAAAATAGTACATCAGATACTCATGCCTGGCTGGGAAGAGGGAAGGAGAAAACAGTTTCTAAAAGTTACGCCACCCTTCGCAGTGTTTTGGAAGAACTGCTGCTTCCTATTCATAGAGAACGGTGGTTGTAAGCGTGTTTGGCGCACTGGGTATACGGTAAGGAGTTGCTTTGTCGATTCGAGATAAGAGAACCGGTAATTTCGTATTTCCTGCCGAACTACACCAACTGGCACGCTGACCAAAACAGTATAAGCCGCGTCGAAGAATAAACAGTATTTACGGTACCGTTAAAAAATGAAGTGAAAGAACGAATCAACGAATGGGTCAAGCAGAACTCAAACTTGGAAAGTGGAAAGCGTTCAGTGGTTCGAAAGAGCCACAATCGGCGGAAGATTTCGCAAGCTACAGAAGGCTGTGAAAAGAGAAGACCCCGTATTGCAGAATGCCTCTGCTCTCGGGAATGTGCCTAACGAACATTAGAGCATCATTGAGGGCGCCTCATTAATTTTCGATGAACGAATCGGGCAGATTTAACGCGGTCGTCTGGCGTACCATCTTATCGCGTACATCTACAGGTCTTCTTATGACGGTTGTCATCTGCGGCCTATCTAACCTGCATCTTGCCCGCAAGATCCTATCTTCATCGCCAACACGCTGTTCACCGAATGGTGTCACCAGAAATGCCGACAACTCTTGTAAGGAGCCTGCCCTTTCACTAAATTCGGCTTCTGAGGGCTCTTCCCACTGGATGCTCCCACAAGACACATGGAAGCGAAGTATGAACAGTGAGGAAAATTTTCTTATGAGGAAACATTGAGAAGAATCAAGCTGAAAATGTGAATTACAATGAAATTCTATGGGAATGTAAGGTAATAGATGACAGCAGCACCCAATGCTTCCAACAAACCCATCCTGATGAGTTAAGCGACTGGTGATAAGTGTTATCAGGCTCGAAAAGCGTGAGTAATGTGAAATGAACGATCACATATGACGTCAGTACCGACATTTCAGAAAAACACCAACCCCTCTTAATCAGGAACAATTTTTTAAAGAAATCGACTTCCACGTTGATCACCCCCTTTTCAAAAACGTGGTACGCATGTGACTGCCTCCATCCAAGAACGTAAAGCGGCTGCAAATAAAACGCAACTGAGGCCATACAGTGATTTGCAGAAGTGAGCCGATGTACATGTCAGAGTTTTATCCTACCAGACGAATCTAGTACCAACTAATCATCCCTGGAGGGAGAAGGCTGGGCGAGAGCCGGCACGGGATTTGAGCCCTCGACCATAGACGTGGTAAGTGTGGTAAACAACGTCGTTGCTTCATGGCTCAAAGCCTGAACACCAAGTCGCGAACAAACTTGAGCTTTGTTCGGCTTAGTCGGCTTAGGTGGGACAGGGGCAATGGGCTTTTTGCTGGCTCCTTTTGATAGTTTATGTTAACTCCCGCATGCGGAGCTACGAAAGGGGGCGGGTGAACGCTTTGTCACAAAGTTTTATAGGTCAAAGTAGCCTTTACAAGCTTTCGGCTGGCATGAGTACCGATTTAGTGCGCAAACACCGGCACCCAAACCCCGCGTTGAAAGTGCATCAGGTGCAACCGCGATGCATCACATGTACACAACCTAGTTGCCCCCAGGAGGGAGTTTATGAAGAGCTTACAGAGAGAGTGTGTTTGGATAGGCCGTCGCGACTACTCCCGTGGGAGAGGGCGGTAAGCTGGGATAGGGTCATTGCAAAGGCAGGTTCCAATATGTTGCATTACTGCGCGAAGAACGTTCAAAGGCCAAGACAGAGGCTAATAGCAGTTACTCTATAGTGTATGTTCGAGTGTTAATGGGTCTACTAGCTGAATAAAACTTAAGGGTTCGAAAGATTCAATCTTCTCAAAAGTTTTGCGTAAGTTAGGCCAATGCAGCATTCGTTTCTTTACAGCTCGCATACTCCCTGGGGTAGAAGTGGACGTGGCTACGTACTTACGATGACGGTATAGATGTTTGTAGCTTGGCTCGCCTTCAAACAGCAACTTTGGGAGTAGCGGGGGTGTGCTTTGCGACCACAGCCGACACAGACACTTCGCCCCTTGGTCCGCAGCGAGCTAGACTTGTCAAACGTCGGCGGCGACTGTAACATTCGTGATGGAATTATATTACGTTTTGATATAAGCATCGAGTTTGCCCCCCTCACTAAGACAGGAGTCACGGTCGTCTCAAAATGGAATGTGCGCAAGAGCATCGCTCATACAGGATCTCAAATGGAATGTGCCGCAAAAATGCATCGTTCATCAGGTGAAGTATGCGGCCACGCTTATCCCATTTCGAGAACATGGAGTGTATAATTGGATCAAGAGGGTAGAAGGCGTGACCTGCTCGGAGATGATTCCGAAGAGGTCTGACTCGTCGCCATGTGCATGCATGACTTCAGCACAACCACTTCAGCACATCATCCTACGCTACAGAAGGAACAAACCTGTGTGGGAGTAGTATTTTACAGGTCGTATGGCTGGAGTGGTCCTTTGTCGCGGTATCACGTGTTTACATACAGTTCCGTTTCCGAGGGCCTCATAGATAACGGTCGGAAATCGGAAAAAGCGCTTGAAGTGTCTTTAGGAGAGTTTCTTCAGACGGAACTTGCAGTTCCCTCGAAGCCCACGCAAAACTCCGAAACTATGGGTAACAAGTGACGTCCTAGTAAGTATGGGACGTCTACCTTTCTGACCACGCCAACGCATTTGCATTTTCTACCATGTTGAGTGTGTGCATGTGAATGTGCTGGATTGTTCGTTTCAAAGGCAGTTGGCACGATGGTTTCCCACTCGGCCTAAAATGCTAGTAGGGCGCTATATAGTGGGGAAATGGCGAAAGAACGGAGTGAAACCGGCGAAGAAAAAGCCTCCGTTCTCAGTGACTTGAAAATCGATTTCGGACGAGTTTCCCGTAGGCATCTTGCCAATCACCGCTACCGAAGATACGGCTGTACCCATATATGCATGCAGCATCACGGCCGCTTCATACCAATCCCTTTGCTTCATAATTTGCTCAGCAAATGAATGAATACGAGCGTCAGGAACGGTCGTCCGTTTGTGGGCGGGCGGGCGAGGAAGGCGTTTGGGACGGAATGTTGTTGCTCGATAGGGCGTTATAGGGGTACCCTCCTTGGAAAAGGCGCCACGGAGCGCCTGTCCGAGGTCACGGAATTCTGTTAAGCCAGTCGTATAAATCCTACATCTGTATAGCGATTTATCGTGCCAACTGCCTTTAAGTTGCGGGAAAGTTCTGTCACATTTTTTCAAATCCTTTATAGAGAGGCGTGTAAGATCAAAATTGTACAGCAATGTTACTGCGGGGTTCTTGCCAGTTTTTGAGCACCTCATGGATGCCATCGCTTCACAATGCAGGGAGGCGCGACGCAAAGTTGGACATCATCTCAATTTTGACTTGGGCTCGGGTTGTGGAGGTTTTCTCGTCCACATAACGGTTGAGTACGGGAGGCAACTCGCAGTTAGAAGGAGCAATGTCTGTGCTACACCAGTGCAAGGGGAGAGCCATCCAGCTCTATTGCATGAGGTACGGCTCGAACTTTTTTGGACGGAGTGCGCTGCACTGTCATACTGAAGGCGGACTGTGCAACAAATTTTTCCCTCTGATCGACGATTCGCTTCAGATCTCGTAGCTGCTTTGCGCACGGGTTGACCGAGGAAGCAGCTTCTTCATCCAGCAGTTTCACGACCCGCA